CCCCGCGGGCCCCCAGGGCGCTCCTGGCCTACGGGCGACCCCGCCGCTCCCGGCGCCCACCTCCCGCCCAGGCTCGGCGCGCGCCCCGCCGACTCGCGCCCCCCGGGGTCCCCACGGCTCTTAGGGACGGCAGCGCAGCCTGGCGCATGGCTTTCCGGGTGCATTGCTTCCCGGGCGGGTCCCCAGTTCCAAGTCCTCCATCAGAGCGGGGGCTCCGTGAGCCGCTCTGGGGACCCCCACGGCCATGTGCTCCGCAGGACGGGGACGGGAGGCTCTGGACCCCCGCCCACCCAGCTCGAGGCTGGAGCCTCGGAGCCCGGCGGGAGTCGGGGCTGTCGCACTCTAGCTCCATCCCACTCTCCCAGCCGGCGATGGGGTCTTTGGGAGGCAGTCTGGAGACCGGGGCAGGGGTCCCTCCTCGGAGGACTCTGTGTCCCGCGTGGTTAGGCCGCGCTGCTGTTGGGGGGGTCGCTTCCGGGCACGGCTCTTGCCTCCTGCTGCCCCCTGGTGGCCAGCCGTCGCGCTGCAGGGCAGGTGACGGAACCCAAGGCCGCGCCAGCAGGGAATAAAGCGAGGGCCGTAAGGATGAGGCTGAGAACCGCGATGGACCGGCTTCCCGGGGTCCTCGGCCACAGGCGGCTCGCCTCTTGCCCTGATGCCGAAGACTAGCCCTCGAACAACTGCCTCGGACCCAGAGTCCTGGGGGTGGCCCAGCCTGAGTTCCTCGTGGGAAATGTCCTCTCGATCGCCGGGCGGGGAAGGATGATCTTCAAAGGGAGGCGAGGAGGAGCCCTAAGACGGCAAAGGCCCGCAAAAGCTGGGGCAGCGCCCTGCGCCCTGCAGCCGGAGCGGGGACCACTCTCGGTATGCTCAGCCCTGAGCAGTGCAAACTTTTCTTGACACAAACAAGACCCCCTTTTTTTTTTTTCCTTCCTCGTGAGATCTTACTCGGAAACCTATATTGTAAACTCAGATAAGTGAAGTGCGGCGGAGGCCAGTGGTGAGGTGGGGAGCTGCCAGAGGGCCCAGAAAGGGCAAGAGAAGGGGGGCTTAAAGGCGGGGGAGGGGTGGGCCCAGGACTGGCAATAAAATGCAGGGGCCAGAAGCTGAGGGTTCAGCAGGGCCTCTGGGCGTGAGGTGGGTGGGTAAGGTGCCAGGGAAGGGCCGCTGCCTTGTTCCTCTGGGGCGTTTCAGGAAGTCTGGGCCGGGTGCGGTGGCTCACGTCTGTAATCCCAGCACTTTGGGAGACCGAGGTGAGAGAGTTGCTTGAGCCCAGGGGTTCGAGACCAGCCTGGGCAACTTGGCAAGACCTCATGTTCACAATAAATAAAACAAATTAGCTGGGCGTGGTAGCGCGCACCTGTAGTTCTGGCCACTTGGAAGGCTGAGGCGTAAGGTTCGCCTGAGCCCCAAGCATCGCCTGAGCCCAGCAGATCAACGCTGGGGTGGCCGTGAGCGTGCCACTGCACTCCAGCCTGGGAACGGAGTGAGACTCCAACTCAAAAAAAAAAAAAAAAAAGTCTGACTTGGAGACTCCCTTGGTAGGTGAGCAGAGAGAGTAGAGCCAGGGCAGGGAGGCGTGAACAATGAGGAGGGCGCTGTCACCATTGCTCCTTCCACCTGGCAGGCACTTTCCCTCCTCCACTTCTGACATCCAGGCCCGCTTCAGAGTCGCCTCCGCCTCCTCCAGTAGGTCCTCTCTGGTCTCCTCGGTTGTGTCTGATCCTCCACTCTGCCCTCCAGCCCTCCCGGCTCTCACCCCAGGCTAATCTTGACCACACTTGTCTTCGCAGCTGCTCTGGCAACTCAGGACCCGATTCATTTACAAGAGGGGGTAAGAGCTTTGTGCAGAGTGGGCATTTGACTTATACGTGTTCATCGACGGCGCCCCGGTGAATTCCACAGGGGCACTTGCGGGAAAAGAGACACTTTCCAGGAGCCCTCACGACTGTGCTTGAAGCGCGTCTCAAGGTCTTAAAGGGGTGGACGTGAAAATTGGGTTGTTCTCCGACCGCGCGCCAGAAGGCGCTCGGGCCCTCACGGTAAAATTCCGGGGCCGGTGCGGACGGTGCCCCGACCCGAGCAGCCACGCTCTGGCCCCGGCGCTGTCCCTAGGGGCTGGGGTCGGCCGCGTCCGTTGTGGCTGCACAAGGCGTGGGGGCACGGATGTCTGCAGCTGGCCTGCTCTCCTCCTAGGGGAGCAGAGGCAAGGAGACCGCCAGGGACGCTACCCGGGTTTCGGGGGGACGAAGAGAAGGAGAAGCGCGGCTGGGACTGGAGGGGCGGGCAGACTTCCGGGCGAGAGCCCCGGCCCGCGCTGTCCTACCTGTGCTTTTCGGGGCCTGCGCGTGTCTGTTTGGCGTCCAGGAGACGTTTACGCCTCCTCTGCAATCCGGCCGTTGCAGGTGTCGGACGGTTTTCATCAGAAACCGCCCACCGTCGCTGACTCTCTCGCACCACGCTTTCCTCTGTCCTGAATCACCCGGGGCCGGTGCCAGCCGGCCAGCGACGGCCCCCGCGCCCAGGCCCCGCGGGACGATCGCGCCTGGCGCGTCCTGTGCGCTTTGCCCTCCCTGCCTCCCCGGGAAATCCCAGGAAAGGCTGGCCAGGCCCTTCTCCTGGCGGCTTCCAGCCTCCGGGACAGCCTGGCGCTTCCCTGCGCCCCCACCGGGCGGCACACTCTCCTCTTGGGGAATGTAATAAATTCTTCTTTCTTTCTTTTTTTTTTGAGTTGGACTCACTCTGTCACCCAGACTGGCGTGCAGTGGCCGCTCCCCGCCACCGCAGCCTCGACCTGCTGGGCGCTGGCGATCCTTCCGCTTCAGCCTTTCGAGTAGCTGGAACTACAGGCTTGCGCTCCCACGCTCGGCTAATTTTTTGATTTATTGTAGAGATGCGGTCTCGCCAAGTTGCCCAGGCGGGTCTCGAACCCCCCCGGCTCAGGCATAAATTCTTCTTTCAGTGGCCTTGGCCGCATTGTGTTGTCAGTCACTTACATAAATTCAAATCCCATAGGTACCTTAACTTTTTTTTTGTTATTGATACATAATAATGCTACATATTTGGGGGGCACCTGTGATATTTTGATACATGCATGCAATGTATCATGATCAAATCAGGGCAATTGGGCTGTCCATCACCTTGAACATTTGTCATTTCTTTGTTTGGGGAACATTGCAAGTCTCTTCTAGCTATTTTGAAATATACAGTTGCCAGCCATGGTGGCCCATGCCAGTAATCCCAGCACTTTGGGAAGCTGAGGCGGGAGGATCGCTTGAGCCCAGGAGTTTGAGACCAGCCTAGGTAACATAGTGAGACCTCACTTCTACAAAAATCAAAAAAAAGTAGCCAGGAATGGTGGCATGCACCTGTGGTCCCAGCTGTTCAAGAGGCTGAGGAAGAAGGATCACCTGAGTACAGGAGGCCAAGGCTGCGATGAGCCATGATCATGCCACTGCACTCAAGCCTGGACAATAGGGGAGGACAAAAGAAAAGAAGAAGAAATATACAATAAATTGCTAACTATAGTCACCTCACCGTGCTATCAAACACTAGCACTTATTCCTTTCTTTCTGTATGTTTGTCCCCATTAACCAATCTCTCTTCACGCCCCCCCCCCCCCTACACACACAAAACTAGAACTACCATAAGATCCAGCAACCTTCCTACTGGGAATTTATCTAAAGGAAAGGAAATCAGCAACCAGTAGGTGAAAAGGACACCTGCCTCCCACTCCCATGTTTACCGCTGCATATTCACAACAACCAAGATATGGAATCAACCTAAGTGTCCGTCAACAGATAGATGGATTTCTATTTTTTATTTATTTTATTTTATTTTTGAGTTGGAGTCTCATTCTGTCGCCCAGACTGGAGTGCAGTGGCCGCTCCCGGCCACCGCAGCTTCAACCTGCTGGGCTCTGACGATCCTTCCGCCTCAGCCTTCCAAGTAGCTGGAACTACAGGCGCACGCTACCATGCCCGGCTAATTTTTTGATTTTATTGTAGAGATGAGGTCTCGTCAAGTTGCCCAGGCGGGTCTCGAACCCATGGGCTCAGGCAATCCACTCACCT